CAGATGATGCCAAAGACCTGGACCACAGCCCCTGTCTGGTTCCTACCATTGAGTGGTCCTCCTCACTCCAAAATAAAACAAAATAAACACTTCACAGGGCCCCTAGATCTTCATGCCTCTCTTAGTTTTCCTTTTTGTTTCATTACTGTTTCCTCTCTCCCCCCCCCCCCCCAAATCAGCTTCTGAATAGCCCCAATCTGCAGCCAGCACCATGCAGCTACCGTGCAACAATCCCAGCCTCTGTCAGGCTGCCTATCGCTCATGCAGCTTTATCCCCACACCACCAGAAAGTGACCTGGCCAACAGAGTTTCAGATCCTTCCACTTATGTCTCCCCAGCTAGCTTAGCTCACTTGCTGGAGCCTCCAATCTGCTTCATCCCCGACCCGCTGACCTGCCTATGGCCCCCAGCAAAGAACTTCATTAAGGCCGAGAATTTATTCCTCCATAAGCCTTTAATTTATTACTGCGCTGATTGGGACTCGGAATGCTCCAAGGTCAGGAAAAGTCGTACTCAATCGTAGACAACAACCCTCCCTTCAGCAGTTTCTTCAGTTGTCCACTTCCAGGGGAGGGGAGGCAAAAATACTTCTTGGAGGAACACAGAAGTCTCTTCCTCCTTACTCTGTCCCAGCCCCACCCCTTCAGAGCACCCAGAAAGTACAGCAGGGCATAGAGCACAGAAGGTAGAAGAAAAGAGCAGCAGCAATCTTCACACCCTGGGACAGCTGGGTCTGTTAAATTCCAGGTGACCCCCATCCCTACAACTTCTGAGCATGATGGAGCCCCATCTGCCAGGACTGACTCAGAATCCTCCTAAGGCTGCATTGCAGGCCTACTTCTCCAAAAGCCCATCTAAACAGGTTCAGACATCAGAGGGAATCCCTGGCCAGTTGTGAGTGTATGTGCATGAACTTGCCTGGCTTAGTCTGATGGACATGACTTGAGTGTACATATATGTGCATGTATATAATGTATGCATGTATATATCTATCTATTCACATCCTTATGGAGGTCTCATCTGACCTATCCATTTCTTGACCTCTTGTTTACAACTAGAGGCCTGATGCATGAATTCGTGCACCGGTAGGGAAGGGGAGGGGGGAGATTCGTGCACCGTTGGGGAGGCCTGGCCTGTGAAGATTGGCTGAAACCAGCTCTCCAACAAGCCTGCCTGGATCTGTGTGCAGCTATCTTCTTATTCCCCCATCACAATGGAAGAGGGACCTTCCTCTTGAAGACAGCCATTTTCAAGAACCTGGGCTTCCCATTCTATCTCCTTTCACCTTCTCAGAGACCTTTCTTCCTCCTACATTTTCAACCTTCCCTTCCCTAACAGTGCCTACAAACAAGCACATATGTCTTCCATCTTAAACCACAAAACCTGCCTCAGCCCCACACTTGCCCCATCACAGCTCTTGCCCTTTTGCTCTCCTTTGAAGCCTCTCCTATGCTTAGTATCCTTTACTAGCTTCCGCTTACCCTAAGGACAAAGACCAAAGTCTAATGTGTGGCCTAGAAGCTCCCTCTCCAGTTTCACCTCATGCCACCCTCCTCACTTCCCCACATCCACTATGCTTCAGGCAGTCATTCACTCAACAAATAATGATTGGTGATGGGGCCAGAATAGTGAGCAAAAGAGGCAAAAATTCTCTCCTGATATGGAACTTGCATTCTAGCTCCATGAAGCTGCCAGGCTTCTTCTCACCTCAGGGCCTTGCCACAACCTTAGCCAATTCCTGCTCATCCTTCAGATCCCAGCTTAGCCACCCCTCAGGGAACTATCCTTCAACTCCATACATCAAGTCCCCATGACTCTGAAACTTTTAGTGTTATAATATAATAAAAATTATTTAACATCCATCTTTTCTGTTATATCTCCAGGGCCTAGTTCAGAACCTGGAATATATTCATGTGTCTTTGCACTCTATGAATATGTTTATATAAACACATTTATGTCTGTATATTTCCACAGGTGACTATGTATGTATGCCTATATGTGTACCTATTAGCAATTTTGGGTATGCCCACTTGGGTATATGCATTCGCATGACTATACATGGGCGTGTGTGTGCATGTCTGTGTGTGTGTGTATTCTTCTGGCCCCTCAGTGAAGCTCTGACCTCCTGGAGGGAGCTGAGAGCAGGGCCCCAAGTCCTCTCTAAGCTGACAGTTCAATAAGAGTATAAGATCATTCAATGACACTCCAAATGTCAGCAAACATTGGCTTGTTCCACTCTGCTAGAGGGGAAGTAGGTGAAGTCGGGAGATGTGGAAATTTTGTCATTAAAAGCTGCTTTTGCCCTGATGTAACCCGCACCATTTCCAGACAGAAGAGGGCGGCTGAAAAACATTTTGCCTTTCCTCAGCTTAGAGGCCTTAGGAAATGGGAATGGTGAATTCACTCACAGTTGCTTCCTTACTAGGCAGATCTAGGTGGCCAAGCAGACCAGAACCCTCCCCACTTTTTTAATGGGGAAAAGCTCTGTAGGGGAGTTGAAAAGGAGAAGAGAAGGAAAGGAAGGAGGGACAAAGTGAGATCAAGGACAGGAGATGATCCTGTAGATAGTCAGAGTGCGGGTCACATATGGGAAAGAAGGCATGGGGTAAGGCTTTTGCATGATATCCCCACAACCTTGGCAATGACCTCTCCGGTCTTGCTTTTGTTGTTACTCTTTTTAAGGGAGCAGGTATCTATGTGTAGCCTGCAGTATAAACAAAAGTCATGCAGTATAAACAACAGAAAGATCACCATGCCCCTGGACCTCCAGGGCCCTGTAGCCTCCCTAATTTGAATGGCTACTGACAAGGACTGAACCAAAGTCTGGAAGTAAGACATCTCTCTTGCTGGACCTTCAAGCAAAGCTGCAACATGATGTGGCTAGAGGACAGGAAGGAAGGGGTTAGACCTCTTGTTTTTTTTTAGACCTACTAAGTTTACCTCCCAAGGAGCCATCACAAGGCCTACTGGGAATAGGGTCCTCAGTTTCCCCTTGTGCCCATTCCCCCTCTATGGTTCAGCACACTCTGGCAGAGAACCAAGCTGAACAGACTCAGGGTAGCCCACTTCCACCTGCAGCAGCACCAAGGTAGCCCTAAGTGGCACTGTTATCACATGGGTCGGCTACTTTCCTGCCTTTCTGTCAAGGAACCTAGAGGCAGGGAGCGATCCATATACCAAAAAGTCTAGTGAACTTCACAGAGCAATTGTTCATGGTCAGCGCCTGCCTCGCCTGGCCGGGCCTTCACATTGCATTTGCCAAGGCCAGCAAGCAGCCTCAGATGCACTCTGACAGCTGGCATGCCGTCTTCTAGGAGCGCAGGCCTAACCACACCCACACGTGCAACTCTGTCAAATCCTGAGTGAGAGGGCCTCTGTGGAGCCAGCTCTCAAAGACCAGCCAGCCAGCCCGCAATCATTCAGAACCCATACTCTCTATCTAGCCCTGATCTGGCCACTGGGGACGCAGGGAGGGACCAGATTCAGCCTCTGTGCTCCAAACAGACATGGCTGTAAGGAAACACACACAGACTCTGTTTCTCCACTCTAAGATCCAAAGTGTTAAGGAGTCTCAAGGCAAGAGACTGACTGCAGAGGCGATACCTGAGCTGAATCTTCAAGAGGAGGGTAAATACCAGATGAAGATGACTAGGGGGCATTTTAGAGAGAAGTAAGGTTATAGGTCAAGAGCTGAAGGAAGCACAGAGCCTGGCTTCCACTGCCAAAGATGGCAGGTAGTAAGCAGCTGTTGTTTGGGTGCATGAGGCAGTGGGGGACGGGGGTATGTGAGTCAGGAAAGATGGGTAGGGATCAAAGTATAAACAATGCAGAGTGCAGAGGACCATGGAAGAGCAAAAGAGTTCACAAATGTTGCCACAAATAATGGCTGCCCTGAGACCTATGGAACAAAGTCCAAGGTCATTCTCTCTCACTGCTCCTTCCCATGCTCACTCAGCTCTAGCTCCACACACACCAAAAGCACACTACTTCCTCTGCCTAGAAAGCCTCTCCTCCTCAGACCCACATCGTATCTTCCTTGAATATGTCCAGTTTAAGACCCAAATCAGGATCCCAGCCTGACCTCCAATAACCTCTCTTCTCTGAACCCCCTGGCAGTCACTACTCTGACCCCTGGTGTGTTTTCCCTTCTCCGAGCTTCCTGGGAGTCATTGCTGACTGGTGGCATGGGGTTCCTGAGGCTGCCCAGGGCTGTTGATCTTACTTTAGGAGGATTTATGGGGATGAGCCTCCCTAGTGGACTGAGCCTCTTGGAGCAAAGATCCACTAGAGCAGAGATCTAGGAAGTCTATTCACACACCTCCTTTCTTCTGCTTACCTAGGAGGGACAGCACACACTAGGAAAGAACAGTTTTCTGAGGATCCATTATCTGCCATGGCCCACCTCCCAGCCCACATCCTCAGTCCTCTCCCCAGGTGCCTGGCGCTCGCTGGGAACTGGGCTGTAGTTTCCATGGCTTTGCTTAGGTGAGCAAGGCTCTGCTGTGGCTAGGCAGGACCAAAGCCAGCCCAAACCAACATTACCTGCCAACCAGAGGAAGATACCAGAGCCAGTCAGGAGGGTCCGAGGCCACACTCATGATCACATTAGAGGAGACTTTTCCAGAGATTTATTTAGAACTGCATCTCTCCCAGAGATAATACAACTCAGCCCAGAGATTCAGCTCTGAGCAAGAACTTGGAACTTCCCCTTAACTGGAACTTCTCTGTACATCTGGGTGATACCAAATAGAGAAGTGTCATACTCCACTCAGCAGCCTGGTCCTCACAAGCAGCTCCCCATCCCAGAAATAACCACAACTTTCTAAGGCACATTAGCTAGAGAAGAGGAAACAGGGATGTTGAGAAAAGAGAAGAACAGAAAGAAAAGGAGATGAGAACAACAAAAAGAAAAAACAGAATGAGAAAAGAAAGCAAAGGAGGGGAGATCTGAGGCACAGGAGAACCTGATGAAGCACCCAAGTGGGGCTCGGACACAGTACCTTTTTCAGATTAATCCACTGCTTGAAGTAATCTGCCACTGGCAAGCCCAAGTACTGGCACTGGCCCGGGAGCCTACAAGAAAGGGAAGAGAAAGTAAGTTAGGCACACACATGCCCCAGGTTGGAGTCTGAAGCTAGGAAATCCAACATAAAGTCCATAGACAAACAGACCTCAAAAAGCCCACCCATTAGCCATGGGTCCCATCCCCACCCAAGAAAGGCCCCCTCACCTCCAGCACCCTGGACACTGAGCTTCATATGCAGCCCTCAGATCCAAATGTGAAAACCTGAAGACTATCTCTCTATATAAAAAGCCAGCGACTGGACTGCCAGAACGACTGGTTGCTATGATGCCCACTGCAGCCAGTGAACCTGCCTGGTGGGGGGTTGGAGCCAGCTCCCATGGTCCCTCTCCCTGGCCAGCCCCACCCCCGATGTTATAACCAGAGTTATAGAAGCATCCAACAGACTGTCCAATCTATGAGGATAGGGGAGAGGAGGATAAGAAATCAATCAAAGGACTTTATGCATGCATATGAGCATAACCAATGGACACAGGCGGGGTGTGATGGTGAGGGCATGTTCTGGGGGAGGAGGGGCAACCAGAGAGAGGTCAATGGGGGGAAAAAAGAAGACTTATTTAATTCTTTAAACAATAACTTATACTTTTATGTGGGTTTTTTCTTCTCTATCTCAGGAAAGTTTTTTGTCATTATTTCTTGAAATACTTTTTCCATGTCTTCCTCAGTTTCCTTTCCTTCTGGAACTCCTATTATTCTAATATTGTTTTGTTTTGTATTGTCCCAAAGTTCTCTTAGGCTCTCCTCCTGCTTTTTAATTTTTTTCCCCAGAAGATGCTCTAATTGGGTATTTTTTTCCATCTTGTCTTCTAGCTCACTGATGTGGTCCTCTGCTTCTTCTGGTCTACTCTTGATGCTTTCTATTGAGTTCTTCATAGTAGCGATGTAATTTTTCATTTCTTCTTGGTTCATCTTCATTTCCTCTTGGTTCTTCTTCAATTCCTCTTGGTTCTTCAATTCCTCTTGGTTCTTCTTCATTTCCTCTTGTTTCTTATTCATATCATCAAATTTCTCTTCCATTCTTTTTAACCATCCTATGATCATTACTCTGAATTCTTGCTCTGGTAGGTTGCTTGCCTCTAACTCATTTACTTCCTTTTCTGGTGATGCCTGCTTTTCTTTCATGTGCGGGCTATTTCTTTGTCTCCCCATGATCTCTCTTTTTCAGGATGTCTGGTTATGTGGTATTCCTTCTCCTTTCCGTGGTTGATTGAAGAACTCCATGAATCCACGTGTTTGCGCCGATTGGGGCGTCACAGCTGCTCGATGGTCTCCTCTGCTGTGGGTTTTCCAGGCCTCAGAGAAGATCCTCCTTTCCTGGTAAGATGGTGCAGCCTTCCCTCTGAGCCCGTAGCTCGGGGAGATCAATAACTTATACTTTAAAAAAAGAGTAATATTTAGCGCCTGCCCATAAGGGGCTCCCAGTTTGTTCAGTGGACTGGACAATAAGAGTAGATAAAACAGCTTTAAGTTGGAGCACTGGAGTGCATAAAAGGATGGGGGAAGACACGAAATATCAGTTGGGGAACGTAGTTTTCTTGCTAAGGGAAGAACTTAGTTACAGGCAACAGAGAGCCTTTAAAGAGGTGTGGTTTACTGTGACTGTTCCGGATCCAAAGCATCAAGAACAAGACGTTAAATAAAGCTGGGTAGCAGTCAGGTGATGACATAGCAGTCATAGAGATATCGATATTGAAGATGTAATGGAGGACTGAAGGGAATGTGGAGCAGTGAGAGAAAGCAGCAGAACTCAATTCCAAGTTTATGCATTGGCGAGCTTCATGCTACTAAGACAGATATAAAGGAGACAGGGGCAGAGAGAGCATATTTGACACCCAGAGCGAATCAACATTTAGTCAATTTTATTATTGTTGTATCCTTTTTCTGCCCAAACCAGGGTGGACTGCTCCCACTGCCTCACCCCTAGTGCACCGCTGGAAGAGGCACGAGTTTGGGAATGCAATTTTAGGTAGATGCCTGGTACATGGTAAGTTCTCAATATCTACTGAGCATGATGTGCTTAGGAGACACTCAGAAGTGGGATGATATCTAAGAAGCAGCTAGATATTCAGTGTTGTTTATTTTTTCTATTTTTTATTAAGGTATTATATGTGTACATATCTTACCATTGCCCCTCCCCCCATATCTAGTTTTAAAGGGAGGTCTGGACTGAATATACAAAATGCTGAATCATTAATGTAACTGAAGTAAAATTAAAGACATAAGAATAGATTAAGGTCACCTGAGAAGAATGTGAAATGAAAGGAGTAGAGGGACCATGTCTCGTAAGTTTTATTGAGCTAAAATGAAACCAGGCCACCTCTACCCAACCATTACCACACACAAGAAATATACTGCTTCAGCTCTAATTTTGGAATTCTTAGACCATCCTTTCTTAGTACTACACTAAAATCTGCCTCCTTGTAACTTCCACCCTGACATATGTCTTTAGAAACTACAGAGAATGAGACTTCCATTTCTTCCTTGCAGAACCCTACCAAGATCTGGAAGCCCAGGAAGCTTCCCCCAGAGTTCCCTTCTCCAGGTCACACTCCCTCAAGCTCCTTCAAGAATTCCACAGGAGACTGTTCTGTCAATGGAGGAGCCCATTCTCTGTCTCACTGCTTCACTAATAAACTCACTTTCACTTTAAATAAAAAACAAAAAATTATTCCACAGGAGATAATGTAACAGGAATCAGGACTACCCAACCCATTTCTGTTCCTGGAGGGCAGGACTCCTGGACCCTTTCACATCACCAGTGGTCAACCTAAACTACTGTGAAAGCAAGCCTCCCCTATCTGGGCTCCTATACAGGGTGGGGCAAAGTAGTTTACAGTCATTCCTATGGCAAAATAATACAATAACTAATAAATAATAATACAAGAATAAACTCCATGCTTTGTGTACTCACAACTATAAACCTACTTTTGCCCTACCCTGTGTAGAACTGATTTTTTAGCTTAGGTCATTAGTGTCAAATGCCACTGAATGGTCAAGCAAGATGAGAGCTGAGAAACACCCAATGAATTTGCATCCGTGGGCTGGTGGGTGCATTAGACAGCTTACAGTGTGTTTAAGAGTGAGTAAGAGGTAAGGAAGTGGAGACTACAAGTGCAAACTCCTTTTTTAGGAAGCTTGGCAATGGGAATCCAGTTGAGATGACTGATTCCACCCCAGAACGTTTCAGGGAAGTTCAGTCTTCCCTCCACTCCTCTTCAGTTAGTTGACAGACACTAAAAGGAAGTCGATCCTCATGTGTCAAGCAGTATAGTAAGGATTTACTTTTCTAAAACCTATGATATCTTCCCTGAAGGGAAGGTTCTTCTCAAACATCCAGGTGGCACAGTGACATTAACCACAACCAGTCAATTTCCTGGAAGGTCAAGATGATGAAAGGGTATCTAGGTAGGATGTACCCATGTGGGAACCAAGGACAAAGAATAAAAGAAAACTGGGCAGGGTTTTGAAGGACAAGTAGTGGCCTTAGGAGCTAGAATGTGATTAGCCTAAGAAGCAGAACTGTAATGTTTGGATAATTTTCTCATTTCCTTCAATTTTTCTTTCATGTTCCTTATCCTTACTATTTGTGAAAATGCTTGCTGAGCTCAGCTACTTTTGAAAAATCACTTTAAGGACTGTGAGTGAAGGAGGGGAAGGTCACTGGAAGAGGCAGAATCCACAAAGGAACAGTCAAGGGGACTGGCCAGCAAAAGGTAGAGGCCCTGGAGCACCTATCATGTTCTCCCTTAGCCAACCCTGATCTTTTCGTTGACCCAGGTCAGAAATCTTATGTGGCTAGCCTTGGGGGAGGGGGAGGCTCTGGGATTGGAGAGATTTCAAAAGTAGACATTAGCTACAGACATTCTTACCCAGATAGTAAGGGACTAGCTCAGTACAATCCTGCCTGCTCCTGTTAGAGGTTGAACTATATCAGAGGGGCACACTGAGGACATACTAGACAGATTGTCAGAGTAGATCCTTAGCCTCAATCCTGAGTGCTGTCAGTACCCACGGCTGACAGAGACAGAGACAGAGGAGAACGGGACTCACTTAGGTACACATGCAGTTTGTACTCACAAGTATTCTGGTTGAGTCGTCTAGCCTGTAATTGGTCCTAGCCCTATGACTTCAAGACACAAGCAGTAAAGAAGTAGCAGGACCCAGGCCCATCTTCATAAGAGACACAAACCCAAAAGCCATATTGAACTCATGAGAAGATAGCTACACATGTCTATGACAGAATCTTATCCCAGCTTAGGAGCACCAAGAGAGTGACCTGTGAAGAAGGTGGGTTTGAGTAGTCATCATCCCCTACATAGAAGATGAAACGGAAACTTGCTTGAACAAGCCAAGGGCAGAACTAGACATGGAATCTAAGTCTTCTGACTACATAAGGCATCAGTTATGTACATTCACTCAGAGCTCTTCACGGTCCCTAGGAAGGCAAGATCGAGGGCCTTAGAGAAGAGGTAGCTCAAGATCACACCTGGAACCAAGGTTCTTAGGATCCTACAGCTAGGGTCAGTGGGCACATGGTTCCACCAATTTGGGAAGGAAAAGAGTAAAAGTTCCTCTGGCACAAAGGGTCTGGATGCTGTGAGTTCCTACCAGATACTGATCCCAAGAAAAGAGCCACTGGCAATGGGCCCTGGACTAGCCTGCGGGCATGAACGTGCAGGCAGGTTTATGGTGCCCAGGTCTCCATGCAGCTGGAATCATGGGCACAAAGCTCCTCAACTGCCCAAACATCATCTGGCCATACTTATTACTGTTGCCCAATGAAATTTTATGCATCGAGTCCACAGGTGTGATTTCCCCTTCTTTATGAGGGTCGGAATGACATCACTGATGGCCAATAGAAAAGAGCCAATTATGTCCAGGCCATAAAAAGGAATGGGGTTTTTTCAACCAAATCAAAACTTCCTTTAGTTTCATGAATGCAAGGGGCTCGCTTTAAGGAAGGGCCCCCCAGTCCTGCCTGTGGACTCTG